TTTTTTTTTTAAATTAGGTTTTAACTTTCATGTATCCAGTAAAGTATAGGATTGTTTTTTTTTTTGACTTGTAGTTTTCAACTGTACTTTAGGTTTTAACGATAATTCAAAAATGAATAAACAGTAAATTTTAAACTTCAAATTTAATCTAATAAAAGCTAATAAAAGTTATATAGATTTGAAAAATAGATATTTTAAAAATATTTTTGGATATACAGGGTATTGCGTTTTTCCTGGCAAATAAAAATGTATATTTTTTAGATAGAATACCCTGTATTTTATTTTTAGAATATTTTAGTAATACTGTATTCAATCCTAGAATATTTTTATAAAATATTACACTATTGCCAAGCATTAATTTTTTTTGAAATTAGAGAATGATGCAGACCGCAAATTAAATTATCATAATTTAGGTAGGTTTACATTGATCTCAAAATTGTTTAATATACAGACTTACAAGATACTAAGCTAACGAATAGTGGAGATAGAACTGATTTTAAGTTCAATTTACTCAATTTTTTAAAATGCATCATCGTGTATATTATCTTATCATAAAATTCTTTAAAAATTTGTCTATACAACGATACCAATAGTTAGCCAATAACGCATATTTGATAGATAGCTGTTTTATTATTAGAAATACGACGAAATTTTTAATATAAAAGTTGTATGATTATATTTAACAATTATTCCTAAATATACAGGGTGGTCCATAAACGAGGTGCGAACCAAATCTATACTTTTTAAAAGCAAAACACCCTGCAGGTTGTTATACTAATTTTGTTTTCTCATCGTCAATCAATTTTAATAAAATTAACTTCATTAATTTGCTATGTTTTATAGGGTGTGTCAAAACGTGAGGTTACGATTTTCTCAATTTTGTAAATGGACCCTGTATTAATCAATTGGTGGTATAACATATAGCGTATTCCATTTAAAAAAATTGAAAATTTTAACACACCCTATATTCAACATAGCAAATAAATGAAGTCTATTAAAATTGATTGACGATGTGAAAACAAGCAGATATGGGTCAGCCCCTCGTTTATGTAACACCCCGTATATTTAAGAATTTTTATTAAACACGGTCAAACAACTTTATTATTTTTGTGTTTCGTATTTCCAATATTAAAACAGCTATTGATCAATTACGCACTAATGGGACACCCTGTATTTGTGTTATTGGCTAACATGTTAGTATCGTTGGATAGGTAAATTTAAAGAAATTTTATGCTAAAATTTTGCATTTGAAAAAATTGACGAAATTCAACTTAAAATTGGTTATATTTAAGACATAAAATAAACCAATTCTATCACCACTACTCGTTAGCTTAGTATCTTATAATTATGTATTTAAAACAATTTTAAATCATTGTAAACCTACCTAAATTATGATAATTTAATTTGGGATCTGCATCATTCTCTAATTTCGTAAAAAAAATAATGGCTTGACAAACCTGTTATATTTTTAAACAAAATTCTAGGGCTACATACAGTTTCTAGGGCTACATACAGTACTATTAAACCATTCTAAAACTAAAATAAAATACAGAATGTTCTATTTATTTGCCAGACAAAAACGCAACACCAAGTGTACTCAAAAATATTTTTAAAATACGTATTTTTTTAAATCTATATAATTTTTATTTAAAACTTATTGGCGTGTCAATAACACAAATTGAAATATTAAACAATTACGCACTAATAGAGCACTTTATAGAGCTTGTCAGCATTGGGGTGATCAACTCAATTGTTCGCATTCTGCTTTTATAACCGTGTTGTTATAAATAAAGGCATAGGTACCTATAGAAAATAAATTGAAGCCCACTAAAGAACTTCTTTGTTCATACTTTACAGAACCTATCTACCTAGTTGATGCCCTTACGTAGAGTGTATGTATTAAAATATTCGCGCTAGAAAACGATTTACCTCCCACTCTTTTGCCACAAGCTGAATTTTTCAGATAAGATAACCCTTATTCCAGAGGTAATACAAAATAAGACTGTGCAGAAGGGCACTATCGCCAAAAAACCAGATATTGATACCGCCGAATAGAGAAAAAATTACTCATTTTTTGTTCCAATGCACAATAAAATCTTTGAAGGGAGTAACTGTTTATACTTAAAAATCATTTGCATTAGTACTTACGGCAGAAAAAAAATTAAACGTGAATATCTCAGTTTCAGCTCTTCAAAAATTTGTTTAAAAAGTCGTCTTTTTTAAATATACCACTCATTTAACAAAAAAGGAAGGCCTAAATGAAAAAAGAAATCATAAAAATTTTGTTTATGTGTTGACAAGGTAACAGAGTAAACACCATATTTCTGCTTTTGAATTAACAAAGATATAACAAGAAACGATGAGAGATGTCATAGGTTTACGCTGTAATTAATTCCCACCGCCAATTCATCGACTTTCAGTGCATGTCTCTCTTCGCCTTCAGCTAAGAAAGCAAAATTTGCAAATGCAGAAAAAAAATATTGGCTGTATCGGTTCCTGCACCTACCTGTATGGCACAGAAAAACTGCAGAAAAAGTTTGACCACAGTCGCTAATGTTTTGGAAAATGTTGATTCGTGTGGTGAATCTTATTCTGATTAGTTTAAAAGTCTTGTACTATAAATTTTAATATTATTAATTTATGCTTTATATTCTTTTAATTATTCTTATTATAATGTTTTTTACATTTGGGAATTTATTGTATTTTGCAAAGCAATAGCCTTACTGTTTTTAATCGATACTTATATATACTGTGTTTATACCTTCAATAAATAGTTCATATTTTCTTATTTTTTATTTTCCTCAAAAAATAAAAAAATAAATCATAGCGTATAAATCAATAATCCGTGTATAAAATAATATGAGAGAGTTAAACTGATTGCATACATTTTAGCACTGAGAGAGAAGAATAGAGAGTGAGAGACTTTACCTTCAATGTTTGCTTTCTAGTTAAACCATGACATAACTAATTGTTTATTGCTATATTTTTGTTATTATAAAAGCAAAAAATATGGGGAAAGCACTGTTACCTTGTTAATACATTGGCAAAACTTTTATGAAGAATAGTTTTTTCTCATTTAGGCCTTCGTTTTTCGTCAAATGAGAGGTATATTTCTAAAAAAAGATTTTTTATACAAATTTGTGGACGGTTGAAACCGAGATATTGACGTTTAAATTTTTTTTCGACCATAAGGGCTAATGCAAATGATTTTTTTTAAATAATTATAAAAAAATACTTCCTACAAAGACCTTATTGTGCTTTACAACAAAAAAATAAGCATTTTTTTTTCTATGTGGTGGTATCAATAACTCGATTTTTTATGATAGTGCCCTTTTGCACTGTCTAATTTTGTATTACTTCCGGAATAAGGGTAAGCTTATCATGTACTTTCATTCCTGAAAAATTCAGCTTGTGACACCGAAGTGGGAGGCAAAGTCAAAAAAATTTCAATCTATACCATACAAAAGCCCGTACCTGCGAGTTTAAAAGAATACATTTTTATTCGCAAATGCGAAAATGCAGAACGTATATTTGTTACTTAGTTGCTAACTAGAGGCAGCACCTCTCGGATAACTTTATTTTGTCTCTCTCTGGGAGGACTTGTTCAGACTTCTCTGTTCCAATGCACGCCCTTAAATAAAGAAATCTGACGAAATTTTACTTAATTTTGACTACCTCACTCGTTTATCTGTTTATCATCGGACATTTCATTAGTCATGCTTATTGCACCATCTAATTAAAAACTTGAAAATAATTTCCAGCGATTTTTATTGAAAACTTTTATCATGAAATTTGTTTTCCCAAAATTATACGACGCATATTGAGATATAATCAGCCGTGCCGGTGTCCTTTCTTGTTTGGACATCCGGTACAAACATATACACAAATTAATGATACAAGAACAATACGTAATAAAATATATTCAGATTACTGAATTAATTTAAACGTGATATTGAATAATGTAACAAAAATGTACCAAAGTTCAGTGTGCTTGTTTTAAAACCATGGGGGAAGGGCGACAACTTTATAAAATATAATAATAACAGGATTTTATTTATCACTTATAAAGGAAAATATACAATAATATAAATATGCGAAACAATATGAAATATTCAGCTCCTCTTTTCAATTAATTTTTGACTATACATTTTCTGCATTAGCTTGTGCGATTATCGATAGTACCCACTCCTATTATACAGAGTGAATCATAATTGATATTTTTTTTAACTGTATGTAAAATAAAAAACTTTTACAAATAAATTTTTCAAAAAAATTCAAACCTAAGAAACTTACATTAATTTATTCCAAAATGTATCCAATTCGGTCATGTCTAACTTAAATATTATTTTGAGATTGGCCCAAAATCGATTAAGACAGTGTGTGAATTAATTTTACAGAAAACGTCGGGCTTCGTTCAATAATTAGTTGTGGACGGGGAACGGAATGATTCAAATACAACTGAATGAATAAATAAAAGAAAAGAAACTTAAATGAAGTGAGGCGCGAAAATTAATTTAGACGTCTTTCTGGGAAATTAGATAACGCCGCCAGGACGCGGACGGATCGAATCTCCGAAAAAGAAAATAACGGGCCGGTTTTTCCCCAAAAGTAATAAAATAAAAAAAATGAAAACGGGTCGAACCTCTCACTTCAATGTGAACTGGGCGCTTCCTAAGAGAGATTGGATATAGTCGTCGAAAATGAGAGCACTCAGAGTCTAGCCTATATCCAGCCTAAAATAAAAAATTGCCAACGGTTTTCCACTGAGGGATGAAATGAAATATCTACCTATAAAATGTTTACCTCTTGAACCTGTACTACGTTTTGCATATTAAATTGCAGCACTCCTTTCTTCTCTAGAACTACAAATTACTTCCATTTGGTAATTTTTTCGCAATACTAAATATGTTTTTCCAATAAACACGAATCCATTAACAAAACAAACCCTCATGTACGCCAATACACAATAGTGGCCGAGGTTATTAATATTTTTATTTCAGGGAGGTACAAAGGACGGCGGGAGTTTCGACGACGGACTTGGTAGGCAGGATGCTGCTTCTAACCAAAAACCATTTCAAACAAGGTCAGTATGAGTACGATGTTGCCAGGGAGCATTCATCGTCATTGGGTCAGGACTCATTCGCTAGGTCTCCTTGGACAGGTTGTTCCCAGTTTTTGCCGACCACGCAGAAAATTATACAATTTTCGGACGGTAAACCACCGAAGCCGGGCGACAGGATCGTTTACGTAGCCGGAGCTTTCGATCTGTTCCACGTTGGACATTTGGACTTTTTGGAAAAAGCCAAGGAACACGTAAGTCGCTTGTTTATTTACTATATCGCTTTTTTTTTTCGTATTCATTTTTTTGGCGCCCAACGTGGGGATTTTTTGCATATCGATTTAGGGTGGCCCGTTCATATTCATTATTAATTGAGATTTTTTTGTTGAAAGCATAATAGTTTATTCACATTTAAATACATCAAAAGAAACTTGTGCCAACCTATAAATATTGATTTTGGGTATATTATAATTTTTTTCTTCTCTTCTAATAAAGACTATTTTTAATTTTTAGACGTATTAGTTTCAATCTTTTTTAAATATTTCAAAGACTTCATTATTTCTTGATAGGTCTTTAAAGAAATTATTTATAAATTTAACTCGTTTAAAAATAATATCGAATATGCGGTAACCATTTTGACAACTGACTATTCTTATCCATTATTTTTATCAGTTTTTTGAAAAGTTTTCCAGCCGGATGTTTTCCTAAATATCGAAAAAGAATCGATTCTGCATTATTATTATTAGTTTAACCTATAACACTTGGTTCAGCGATAACATACCTAATTTGCAAATCATCTCTAAAAATTTATTATATTTTATATAAACGAATTCGTTGCATTTTTTTTTTTTTTTTTTTTCGTTATAAGAATATATAAAATATTGAAAACAAAAATGCGATAGTTTGACACTCAGAAAAAAGGTTACAAAAATCAATTGGCTATGTAGGTGGTTGGGATAATTTAGACATGCGTCCGATAACACGGAGATAGAACCGGTTGTTGATAGTGGAGTGGACTGTATATAAAAATTATATATTTAAATTGATGTGACAGTTCAAAATTATTTTATTTATTTCAATAAAACTGTTAATGAATATGGTTGATATGGTTATAAACGTCAATTACAAAAATTATTTATAGGATTGTATTAAAATGTGACGTAAACTAGAATTAATAATTTTATAGAAATATATAATTTTTGACTTATTTTAAATTATTTCATTTTTAACTGAGGTAACTACTGTTTGGGCTCGTACGTATGTAATTCGTTTATAAATAATGGTACAAAAAATTATTTTTGAAATTAGCTGATTTGAAAATTAAGTATGCAAAAAACTAACTTTTAAAAAATTTGATTAAAATGCCATTTTCCTTCTAAAATTTATAAATTTTTTCCTTTTTTTTTTGGCTCACATCAGATTTTCCTTGTAATTTACAGGGCGATTACGTGATAGCGGGCCTACACACGGATCCGGTCGTCAACAGATATAAGGGCACCAATTACCCCATAATGAACTTGCACGAAAGGGTGCTCAGCGTGCTCGCGTGCAAGTACGTTTCCGAGGTGGTAATCGGCGCCCCCTATACCGTTACTAAAGATCTGATGGATCACTTCAAAGTCGACGTGGTTATACACGGAGACACACCCGTAATGGTCGATGAGGAAGGAACGGATCCGTATCAGTACCCCAAAAACGTAAGTCATATTATTTTTTTATGTATATAAAATATTGTTCGTATTGTATTTTTTAAGGTTTTATCGTTGGTGCCGTTATAACTCAAATGGGCCTTTTTTTCACATTGCAACACCCTATAACTTCCTTCATACAAAATAATAAAGCGGAGAAAAATCAGTCTTTTAACCTCTGATTAAAGTTGAAAGTAACTACTTGCTGATTAAACTATAGGGCTATTTTTGTTTGATTATCTGTCAAGTATACCTACATGTAACTTTACTCACAGGTGAAAAAGTCGACCCTTAATCTAGTGAAAATGTTTACATAAAAATAAGAAATTAAATATAAATCTGTAGAGGCGGAAATTCCTAACAAACGGTGAGAAAGCTGTAAATTAATTAACAGTATAATTAAATCAAGTGAAAATGCTTACATAAAAAATAAGAAAATATAATATATTGGCTAAATTAAAACCAAGCAATAGAACTAATCAGCGATGAGGCCTCCAGGTTAACAGTATAACTAACCTAAATAATATATATTTACAAAGTAAATAAATAAAGTAAAATAAAATAATTAAATCCGCAATTTTAAAATAATTTCTGGAATACCTGTATATTATTAATGCGTTGTACGAAAAGTTTTGCCAATAAATAAAATAAATAGATCTAAAATGGCTATCTTACGGTATTCCAACGTGTTGGAAGTAATTACAAAATCAACAGGTCGAATACAACTAATGTCATTCTAAATCCTAAATATTTCATTCGGCATTACTATTTAAAAACAATATTTATTTTTCTCGAGACAAATTAAAAAAGTGGTGGTAGTCGAGCGGTGTTAGCACAGGGATTATGGTCGGATTTTATAAAAAATTAATCTTGGTTAAAATTCACCTATTAACAAAGGGGCGCAGATTATTACAGTTGACACAGTGACGGATAAGGGGACAACGTTATCTTCTGATCAACTGTAGGTAGTGAATTAAAGATTTCACTGATTGCCAGAGTAGTGAAGGGTCTATTGACTCGGAAAAAACTTGGATGTTGATAAATTAAGTCTGCGAAATAACACTACACTACGTTACTTCCGAACTTTAGAACGGTATTCATTACAAAGTTGGGAAATCTCGGCTTTAAGAATTTTCGTCGTTGAAACCAGACTACAATCTTGCTGGCTTTCTTGCGAAATAAATCAGGAAGGAAAAGTGAAAATCTCAAAGAACGTGACGGGCCTATTCAAAACTAATTTTCTCGAATTATAACAAATGATTTCTTTTGCTAACGTTTAAGAAGCATCGGACGACCCAGATGATATCGAATTAAATCCTAACAGTCCGTCAGATAGGGATAGATTTAGATGCCCCATTTTCGCATACAAGCCTCGAAGAGGGTTGAAAAGTACATCGATGTTGAGTATGAAAGGAAATTTACGAGTGGCTCTTATGGATAACACATGGAAAATTCGATTTTCCCTAACTTAAATATTTTCCCACCCCATCCGGTTTATTCAAGCCAATATGTTTTCTGACTAATGACGGTGTACGTTTTCGTAAATTTGATAGGCTTGTGTGAAAAAATCAGTTAAAATCTCGATTTTTCCTTGCACAAGATTACGAGCTTATTTCAACCCTTTAGCCACTTGCAACATTAAAGCCTTTGGTTTTCCGAAGCCTAGTTCTATTAGTTAATCATTTAGTGAACACGGTTTACTTGAAAATATGGGCAACAAATACCTTTAATTTTTGTTGAAGAAAAATCCTTTCATTCTATTCAAAATCAATGTACTTTTCAACCCTATTCGAGGCTTATATGCGAAAATGGGGCACCTAAACCTATCACTATCTTACGGTACATAATGGTAAAGGCTAATCATGAAAGAATTCTACCTTATATTTTCCACGGCTTTCACATGACGGTAATCGGTTTTTAAAAAAGAAAGAATTCGTGGGGAGTCTGGCTTTATACTTTACGCTCGGACTAGTTCGGTTTCCGAGTGGTTCGGAGTGGGAGTATTCAATATTTACAAATCGCAGGATAGAAAAAAATAGCATTCTGAGATTTGCAAAAGTGGCCAGATAATTTACCTGAGCTTAAGAATTATATATTTTGAAAATACGGGTATACTTAACAACGCTAATAGGCAGAAATTAACTTGAACCAAATATTTTTATAATTAAACTAAAGAAATATTTAGTGACTTCGTTACAAGGTTTGCAGGCATTATTTACTTTCCTGGATACAGTAAAGTATGGGAATTATTATTTTTGATCATCTCGAATTTTCGACAGATCTTTACGTTTAGAGATCCCTTGAATCCATTTTGACCATTGTCGCGATGATATATGTCTGTCTATTGGTGTGTTTGGGTATGTGTGCTTGCCTGGGTGTGTGTGTGTGTGTATGTGTCTGATCCTCGATAACTCATAAAAGGATAAAGAGAAAAACACCAAATTATAAATTTTAAATTTTAATCCATTTTGCGGTAAGCTGATTAGATTTTGGGCATAGTCCGAACATCTGGGGGGTTCTTTCTTTTTTTAACCGTCTTCAAAAAAGGAGGAGGTTCTCAATTTGCCATAATATTTTTTTATGTATGTTCAGCGATAATTCTTTAACACGATGTCCGATTTCAATGTTTCTTTTTTTGATAGAAAGGGGGTACTTCAGGGGAGGTCCCATATTAATTTTGTCAAAATCTTATAATTGGGTCCATTAGAAAATCCTCAACCTCTTCATTTTTAATGTATCTTTAGCGGTAATTCTTTACCACCTTGTCCAATTTCTATTATTCTTTTTTTGTTAGTAAGCCTCAAGGTTGGTCCCATATATACATTTTGTCAGAATCTATTAATGGGGTCCATGAGAAAAATCCTCAAACTCTTCATTTTTTATGTATGTTTAGCGATAATTATTTACCACCTTGTCCGATTTCTATGATTCTTTTTTTGTTAGTAAGGGGGTTTATCAGGGGTGGTCCCATAAAAATTTGGTTAAGATGTGGTGACTGCATCTGCACGATTTTGAAGTCGGTTTTTTAAAATTACTTTTAATACTTGTTTGAAATAGATGTAAAATAGGAACCAAAAATCGAAAAGTCGTTTAATTGATCTTAAAATGTTTTTAATGACACAACTACACGTACTGCATTTGCGGGCATATTTTATATATTATTTCTACCCTATTCAGCCTTTTATTACTCCGGGTTTTCGAAAAAAAAATCATAATTTTCCATTCCTTACCCCTCATCCTTAATAAGGAATATTAAGAATTAAGTGACGTTCTCGGATATTTTTTAAATAGCAAAATATTTATAAAAAAGTAGGTACCTGTCGATTTGTTTTCCTTCCACCGAAATTTTGTAAAACTTCCTAGCAAATTTTACAACTAATTTTTTTGGAACCAACATGCCACAGCAATTCAAGACAAAATATCCCATCCAAGCCTTCTGTCAACTATAACAATAAAAGCAGCAACCGGACCTGTTAAGAGTGTTAACTCAAGTAATAATTGTAAAACACTCAAAATGGAAGACATAAGTGGATAAAGGTGTCATGTCACATAAAAATTATTTCGAGAAAAACAAGTTTAAAGTTTTACAATTGCATTATGATATATGGCTCATGGCACCTTCCTATTTACAAAAAATATAGTATATTTTAAGTATATTAAGCAATAAAAATATTTTTTTAAAAAATGTGACATGACACCTTTATCCACTTATGTCTTCAATTGATTTAGGTTATAAAAGTGTTTTATCTATTTTATATAAAATCTATTCTCTTAAATAGTACATTAAGAATAATTTAAAGCTAAAAGGTTTTAATTTAGTCAATTTGGTTAAAACAAATGCCTTTTGGATTTCGATGGCTAAAGTGTAAACGTCGTAACTCACCAAATATTCAAAAATTTGATTTTAGTGCCAATCGAAGCATTGGATATACCTGCACATTCTGGCAAATAATTGCAAGCCACAACCGCCTCGAAATTTTATTTTACGCGCAAATATCAACAAAATGCATTATTTGATGTGTAAAACGTCGTAAGCCAGGAAGGTTTTTTGTGTGCCCTGAATAGTGCTTACTGGGGATTCGACGTTTTGCACTTAAGCCATCAATTTACGACTTTATTAAAACTAATTGAAGACGTTTTTTCAAAAACAACACATATCCAAAAATGTCCAAATTGAGTTAACTGTAATAATTAGTTGCTAATTGTTGTATTTACCGGAACAAATTGTGCTAACACCCAAAAAGATATATTCACTGTCAAATATAGAGCGTCTTTAATTCTACCTCCTCCACGTTCGGATAAAACGCCATCTTCTCGCAAAATTAAGATTAAGATTTCGTTCGGCTCAGTCAATGAGTGGTTACGTGGGTGTAACAAACTTTCGATGGTTCACCAATAATTCTATTTTTGTTGTTGCTAAATTACTCGGAACATTTTACAATTTGATTCTACATAGTTTTGGCATTCATAATCAATTGATTAAAGCCAAAAATTATGTCTCATCCAATTGATATAAAAATATTCTCGAGATTTAGATTCAACAAAAATAGTTGACTATTAACAAGGTCTTGCTATATTACTCTTAAAGTTGACTATTAACAAGGTCTTGCTATATTACTCTTAATAATTTATTTTTCTTCCAGGTGGGTAAATTTGTGGTCGTGAAATCCGGTAACGACATGACGACCGAAAGGATAGTAGAGCGGATAATCAGGAATAGACAGGAATTCCAGGATAGGAATAGTAGTAAAGAAAAAAAGGAATTGGAAGTACTCAAATCGTTAGACGCTAAACAAAACGGAACGGCGCATGTCCATTCCTAAAAAAATGTACCTACTACCCCCTCATTCCCCAAACAAGCTGGTATAACTGTGTAAATATTTTATTTTATTACTACTTTTCTTATTTTTTTTTTTATTTTGCGTATAAAAAAAAGACAGTGGAATGCTTTAATATATAGAGCGATTAATTGGTAAAAATCGCTTACTAGTATCGACTACCTTGGTAATAAAATGTTTAATATAGTTCCAAAAAAATCTAAATTCGAATAAGTTTAAAACAACACCCTGTATATCAAATTTTTTAGATCCTTTTAAATATATTTTATCATAAACTATAATACAGTGTTGTTTCGCGGTTATTTCATTCTGTTAAACATGGACACAACTCAATCCTATGACTAGTATTTGATCAAAAAAAAAAAATTCGTATTTTTTAGAATTGCTTCGCAATATATGGATCGCCCCTTGTATATAAACCTTATCAGAAATTTTATTAGCGAGTGGTAAAATGTTGGTATAAAAACGTTTTTATATTGATTGCTTTTTAGTCTTGAAATGAAGACGCTTTTCGGAGCCAGTGTTTTACCTAATTTTTATTACTGTCTTAGAGGAACCCACGAAATTATTTATATTTATGAAGCTTTTTACTCTTATTACTATTATTATTATAAATATGTGTATTATATTTACGGTTATGTTATTTCAGAAAAACAGTTGAAAATTTGAACATTTTATTTTTATTACTTACTTATTATTGTAAATATCAATTTTAAATGTGTACCTAATTATTATTAATTTGTACAATTGTCTATTTTATATTATTTATTAAAAAATTGTACATTAGAAATATTTAAAATAAATATATTGTTATTATAATATTTATGCAGTCGTTTTATTTATTTTTAAATAAATAATAGGTGATTTTGAATAAAGAATAACATTAGTAGATAGTGAGATTGTTATTGTGGCGATAGAGGCCTATGTAAGAAAAATAAGCACTGATTTATAAAATAAAATTCTCGCTTTTATTTCTTTACTATTATAAATACTGAATGAATCCTGAGTTGAACAATTTAGCATGGTCTAAAACCTAAAATACAACCTTCAGATATCAAATTTTACTCTTGACCAAAAATCATTTTTTTGACAAACCTCGTATACAACTCATAAAATTTGGTTTTCAATATGTAGCCAACTTACGTAAACACACTGTATATACTATATACCACTGTTCTTTCTTTGCTTATCAAAATTTTTAAATAATTATTTCCGTATTGCATGGAGCCATTGATAAACCGTGTCTCCTATTTAATTTCTGATAATTCAATCTGTTAATTATTTATATATTCGCCATATTTTATTTCAAACTTTTAAATGTCAAAAAATTGAAATTGTACTATTATCATTTTTTAATGATTTTACTTTTATTGAAATCCGGTTTCTAATTAAATTGCGATTTATAATCAAAAAATTATCTGAAGTAATTTTTATTATGAAAGTATATGGAAATGAATATATTTTTATTAGAATTAGATAGAAATTAAGAAAGGCTATAATTACGGTTAAAAATATAAAATGCAATATTTTATATATGATTGGTATATAATTATAAAGTTAAATATACAGAATTTAGGTGTCATATTTGAAAAACAAATTATATAAGTATACGTAGACGCAAAACATTGGACATTCTATGTAATTAACTAAATTGCCACTTCATTTTACCAAGGTGAATACCACAGGAACTAAGGCTTCATAGCAACAGGTACCAAAAGGATTTAGTACATGTGGTTTGGTTGGGCAGGTTAAGTTGTTAAAGAGAATAATAATAAACGATATTGGAGAGCAGCGTGGTGGAAAGAAGAAGCTTGAAGGATGCAAAGAGAATTTTTGATAGACAAATGTATTACACAGGACTCGATCCAGTATAAACGAAATTTGCCAATGGCTTGGATCGACTATAAAAAAGCCTTTGACACAACATCTCATGAACTTCTAATAGATCTGTTGAGAACACTTGAAGTCCCTCACTCATTAATTCAGTGCATCGAACATCTGATGCCGCTCTGGAGAACTAAATTTTCCGTAAGATCTGGAAATGAAAATACCACAGAGCCTATACATTTTAAAAGAGGGGTATTTCAAGGAGATTCACTAAGCCCTTTACTATTCTGCATTTCGCTGCTTACTATTTCGGTATCCCTTCGCAAGACTCGCGGCTATTGCTGTGGACCACCTGGAAACCGAAGGCATAAAGTGACATACCTCTTCTATATAGATGATCTAAAGTTTTACGCTACAAGCCAGCGAGACCTACATCAATCTCTAAAGGTGATTCAAGAATATACTAGAGATATAGGTATGGAGTTCAGTCTGGATAATATGCAATTTTAACCTTAGAGAAAGGCCGTTATGGAAACGATCCAGAAAATGAGCAACTCGCTGATGTAGCAATTTTACGCCACCTTGAAGCAAGTGAGGCATATCGATACCTTGGTGTCGATTAAAATCGTACCCAAGACACAAAAAGGATTAAGTCAACGCTCCGAAGCAAGTATCGTCAGCGCCTCCGACAAATATGGAAATCAGAGCTCTCCGGTATAAATAAGGTGGCTGCCACTAATACGCTTGCTCCTTCGGAGTGTTGAAGTGGAGGCGCGACGAGTTGCGCGAACTGGACATGAGCACACGAAAGATGATGCATCTCAATCGCAGCCATTCATCCTGAATTTACCTCCCACGTGATAGGAGTGGAAGAGGCCTTCTAACCACGACAGGCTGGTACTAAGAATGGCCTGCAAAATCGACAATAGTACGGATCCACTACTAAAACTCGTAAAAGATCACAAAGCAGCCAATGTCGGAGCATTTCTTTTTAGGGCAGCAGGAAAGGCGGCATATAGATTAAATCTAGTATTAACATTAGATGTTGATAACGAACACTTGCTTACTAGGTTGGAGTCTGAGGCTCTAAAGTCTCGAATTAAGAAAGCAGAAGAACAAGGGCTCTTTGAAGATCTTCTCAACAAGCCGCAGCACAGAGTGTTCTATAGAAACATCAAAAATCAAAGGCTATCCAAAAGACTGACTTTCACCTTTCTAAAGTCTGCTGGTCTAAAATCTGAGACTGAAGACTTTCTGATTGCTTGCCAGGATGGGGTAATTAATACCCTGGTATACCGTAGTCAATTTTCTGAAGTTGCCGACGTCAGATGTAGAACCTGTCGCCAGCATCCCAAAATATTTATGCACTTATTGTCAGCTTGCATGCTGTTTCTAGCTATATTTACCGGCACAATGCAGCTCTTCGGGTGTTTCATTATCATCTGCGACATGTCTATGGTATGGATGAAACACCAGTGCTACCTTATACTGCAGGGAGTATTGAGACAGTAATGGAAAATAATAACTATCGCATTTATTGGAATTACGCTTTTTCTACCACAACACGTTTTCAGGCGAATAAGCCAGACATGGTCTTGCTGGATAAGCAGAAAAACTCGATGTATGTCATAGAGTTTTCCGCTCCGGCAGAAACAAACATCGAGCTTAAGGAGAGGGAAAAGCGGGCCAAATACGTAGAACTCCTTGGCGAATTGCGCAGACTATATCCTGAGTACACAGTATATTTTGTAGTCCTTATAATCGGCGTTTTTGGAAGGACAATACCTTAATAGAGCTAAGGAAAATACCGACATGCCGTGCATCGCTCGAACATCTAGTGATGAACATGCAAAAAGCCGTCGTTCTCGGTTCAATGCGCCTTTTAAGGCAAATGAGGCTGACGATCACTGACCGAGCGGACGCAAGAAGTGATCGTCTTCACTATAGGCCTTCCGCGTAACGCCCTGTGGGGTCGGAGCCACAGGACACGTCACGACGGAACTTTAACAAAATAATAATAAGGTATATTACATAAGTGTAAGTAACCTAGTAAATCCACTAAGGCTAAGCCAGCACGTGGATTTGCTATTGACACTTTTTTTTATTATAATTTTTTTATACCTATTCAGTTACATATACATTTATAAAAATTTAATCAAATGATGAAAATAATAATTATTAAAACAGATCTATTGAATCATATTAAAAAAGATTAATTATAAAAATAATAATAATTATAATCGATTAAAAACATTGAAATACAGGGTAAATATATAAAAAATCAAATATTAAAAACTAAATTATTATTATTAACATTATTATAAAGTATATCAAAATCGAAAACATGAAAAATCAATCATATTATTTATTTAAATGAATATCACATTTTTTTTGTACTAAGAAGGCTCGACTACGGCGTGACCTTCATGCCTATTCAATTGCAACATATGTCATTTTATTTTTAAAAATATGTTTCTCATATCTACAGGCAGACAATTAAATAGTCTAGAAGAGTTAGGTACAAATCCCCTTTGGCTTATTGTTTTTAAAAAGTAGTCTACATGAACGAGATTATTAGTATTTGCCCTAGTTTTATATTGATGGTCTATATATTTAAATGCATTTTTATTTTTATAGATTTCGATACACATTTTTAGAAAATAAAGTTGCCTTACATCTAGAAAACCAGATTCTTGAAATAGATTATCCGAGGAGTACACTCGAGGCTTACCTAAAATAATTTTAATAAAAGTTTTTTGTATTATATCTATTTTTTATATAGCAAGTCGCAGCTGCACCCCATCCAATTATTCCGTACGAAAGTCTAGATTCTATCAATGCATGGTACATTATTTTCAACTGTGGCAATTCTAAAATACTCTAGCAATGTGAATTTGTACATAAAACTTAAAGTATTTTTGTAACTTTTCCAATGTGTGTAATATGATCTTGTTATTTTATCTATTTTTATAGTGTTTTAAGCTCTTATTATTTGGGGAGTGGGTCAGGTTATTAAACAACTCGTATCACTTTGAAAAAGAATGTTGGACGCCACTATATTTAAACTTTCTAAACTTGACAAGCGATTAATGATGAAAATATAGAAAATCACTAACCTTTATAATTATATAAGGTAGCGACAAATTCTAATTCACAGAGACTTAATTATTCAAATTTAAATGATTTATTATAACTTATCTGTGGTATAACAGATAGCAGATACAGGGGATTCGTATGATAGGCTTGGATATCACCAACTGATAATTCTTCTTAGGTAAAGTTAAATCTCGTACACTTCTTTGGATGGCTCGAACTAAACCTCTTGAAATACTTGAAACAACCTCTGTAGCTGGAACCAAACTTCTAAGTTCCAATATTTCTACACATGCAGCTGGAACATTCTTTCTAACAATCTTTTTCGATAAACTTCTATAAAACCATCGATATAACTTCTACTGAAACCATCTATATACAGCCAAACTACAAGGAAAAAGGTAAAAATATCAAGAAGGGATTAGGAAGAGTATATAGGAAACAGATAATGCTTTTTACTATTAAATGAACATTTAAACTATTATTTGAATAGCTTCACAGAGACCAAATTAATAGGAAAAGAAAAAGTCTTATTTAACACATTTAAATATAGTAAAGCATATTATCTATTTCAAACAAAATAATATATGAAATTATATAAAACATGAGATTTCTTGTGTGATTCAATGTGTGAGGTTATGTTTCAAATTTGACATTTTAATAAAGAAATTCTTGTACTAAATATATATTTTCAACAAAATATCGGTAGGAAACTTACCTTTATAAAATCAGCCGGTCATTAAAAATATTAAAGACAATTAGTACATCGGATGTACTAGATAAAAGATAATTAAAATTCAATAATCAACTTGCTTGTCGACAGAGATAAAATGAAAAATGACAACCCGAGTTTTGACACAAGGCCTAAACGACAAATGACGTTTGTGTAGAGATGGTGGTTTCAAAATAACGAAAACGGTTACAACCGTTACAATGTCTGGGTCAAATAACGAAAACGGTTCCAACCGTTACATGTGAACATCCCATCTCATATGACAGTCTAAATAAATACCCAGATATTTGACAGATTAGGAAGATTGTATTCGGATTTCGGTACCATGACTATTGATGCTCAAGAGATTGTATGCAGGAAAGTATTTTCGTAACATGCAAATGGCAAAAAGTGTGTTGTCGAAAAGTTGATGGTAAGTAATTTCTGATTGAAGCATTCAATTAATTTATTTATATCAAATTTTACCGAATTTTTTAGATCCTTCCAACTAGACGATTCATAGTAGATCAGTGGCGAAACTAATTATTGTTCCTGAGATGGTAAGTGTAAAGGCTGTATATGTCACGATACTAAATTAAGTACTAAATTTAGCACTAAATTAAGTTATTAATTTAGTACTAAATTTAGAACTAAAAATATGTTTTTTCCGTTTGCAACGATATACAAATTTTTAGTACTAAATTTACTATAGGCGCACGCGCATTGACGTATTAATACGTGAAATTAGCAGAGAAATGAAATAATTCTGTGTGAAACAGACAAGTGAAGTAAATGGTGTTTTTATTATCAATTTGACAGTGATTTGACACTAGTTGACTTGACAACAACCATGACAACAACCAAATACAGCATAATAACCACGAAAAAAACACAATAAAACCTACAAAATCAAACAAGCGAACTTTATTCAAGGCGATAATGTAAAATAATAATAAAATAAATTAAAAATAAAAGGGCACAGAAAATACCGTCGTGTCAACTTTTTCTATGAAAAACTTCTGCGCAACATTTCGGCGCACTTTTAGTAATAAATTTAGTAGAAAATAGAACAAGATCTAATTAATTAATGACTTCTTTTAGTTCTAAATTTAGTACTTAATTTAGTATCGTGACATACAGCCTTTAGATATCATTTAGATAAATTGTAAAGAGTACTGGACCCAATACAGTTCCCTGTGGTACTCCGTACTCAATTATTGTTTTATTATTATGTTCTTCCCTATTGCTTAAATAGGTTTTTAACAAATTATAAGGTACACCCCTAAAGCCGTAATCAAACAAAGTTTCTAGCAACTGCTTGTGAATCCACAGTATCAAAGGCTTTCGCAAGATCCAAAAATACTCCCATACTTGCCTTTCCTTTTTCTAGGCCTAAGTGGATTTTCGACGTTAGAACTTTTATAGCATCTGTGATACATTTGCCTACTCTGAAACCGAACTGATTTTCCGATAATAATTTATGTTTCGATAGAAACTCTATTATTCTGTTTTTAATTGTTTTTTCAATTACCTTAGCGAAGTTTGATATAAGACTAATAGGAAATAGAAAAGAAAAAGGGCAGGATAGATTCGCGCTTCGAACCTGTCAGTACATTTTTAGATACGTAATTGGCGAGACTCTTAAAATGGTACACCACTATCTACAAAATAATGCGATCAAGAAATAAATACACATTTTTTTATTAAAATTTAATCAAATTAAAATTAACTTATTTTCCTAACTCACAAAAAAATTACATTTTAAAAACAATCAATCCTTATCTTTGGGATCATCGATCCCGCCATTAGTAATCACATAAGACGCCTCGTTCTCCTCCAAATCGGGACTATCATAGATCGTAGCCACCCTCTTATTCCCCTTTCCCTTCTTCAACGCGAGCCTGGTGGTGGACGAATGCGCCAAAACGTTGCCCCCTACCGGTTTGGCCATGTCTCCTTCGCTCGGCAACACCGTAAAATCGGACGTGATCTGATTGGTCACAAGAACGGCGATGTTGTATTCCTCACTAATTTTTTGAAGGCGCGACATCATCTGGCCGAGTTTCTGTTGACGCTCGGCTATCTCGCCTCTTCCGGTGAAATCTACGCGAAATAAGGCCATGACTGAGTCGATTATTAGAAGCTTGAAGATGCCGGCTTCTTCGTGGAACTTGGCCGCTACGCTAAAAATAACAGACTTTAAACAACGTCGGTTTCTCTAGTCGGACCGAAGACGTCACTTTTGGTCGGACTGAAGACTAAATAATGTAATACAATGTGCGAATGTCAGCAATAGAAGCATAACTTTATAAGATTGATGTGTACTTATAAAACATTAATAAATGTATAAGAGCACATTTACTTACTTATTTAGAAGTTCGTATTGATGTTCAGAATTGTAAGCTCTAGCATACAGAATATTTTCGAGCACAGCTGTTTGATCCAAATTAAATCGTTCTGCTATTGGTCTTAAACGATCTGGGCGACTATTTAATTATATTAAGAAAAAATAATTTTAATATCAGTAAATCAAATTACAAATTATATTTCTAATTGGTTTGAATTTAAAAAGGATACAAAGTATGTTCAGTGTCAATAAACATTACTTTTCCGCCTAGATATCCATTTAAACCGGGCATTTGGGCAGTGACACAGAGAGTATGGGCCAATTGGGTTTTTCCGGTTCTAAATTCACCAAAAACCTCCGTTATGGACATGGATTCAACTCCACCACCTAACAATTTACTGAAAATATATAAAACGGATATCAAGTGGGAAAACTGCTGACGAAATTTTATTTTTAAAATGCGGTAATAAATGATTCATATAAACTTAATATATTTATAAAGTATTGTGACAAAGATAGATAGATAGATATATACCTAGTGTCCGCGCGAAAACTTCGGATGTCTCTATTTCTGGGGAAATCTAAGTTGGAATCTAGAATATTTGGGGTACAAGACAGTGTATAGGAGGGCGTAATTCCACTTCTCCTTAAGCTACCCTTTAATTTAAAAATGGTATTATTTATTTAACAGTTTATTTATAATTTATTTATACTACGTACTAATTAATTTATTCTTAAGTACTTATTTATTTAACACATTATAATTTATTCAACAATTAACTTATACTAATTTATAACACATTTACTTTGTCAATATTCTCACAGCTATGACTCGAGTTCAACTGACTGACTTCTTGTGCAACACAGTCCATTTACATATAAATTGGTGTATGCGCTAGATAATTATCGTTCCCACCATTTATTAAAAAGGCGTCTCCGGCAATTTCTCGAAATGACTTCTTTAAAGCTGGGTTCTAGCATATTCCCGAATGAATGAATTTTGATATTTATTCACTACAAAACTCGAGCTACCCATGCATGAAAAGTATGTGGAGTACACTAATTTAGTGATGATGTAATTTTGATTCTACTGAAAGTTAAAATGACAGTAGACTTTTTGATTGCGTTTTGCTCATTTTGTTTACCTAAATTATATCGTTTTTTTTACTTTTATGAATGTATTGATAAAGTAAGTAGATAACATGCATCAAATATACATCCAATTATTTACCAATTACATATACCTTCAAACAATTTTTTATAACCTGCAAATAATATTAGAAAGAAACCAAAACCAGTAATAACCTATATGTCAAATTTATTGATGTTTTTGTAAAATGTTTTGTTAGAAATTAACTGTCAGTGGAACCAAAATTGCGTCACACTAATATGGCGTATTACGTCAACCTATGCTTTGTCTCATACTCCAAAAGTCTAACAGCCGTATGCATAGTCGATCGCCAGAGATTCATTTCGGCGTATCGCCAGCGATTCGCTGGCGATCCGCCGGCGAAAGCCCAAAAAGGTGGCGACTCGCCGGAGATTGTCACCGGAATGTCATTTCACGCAAGTTTTCATTTTCTTTTATAGGGATTATCACCGGTATCTCTCGCATTTTATTCATGATTAATTTCTTAAAACTCAAAAAATAATGAACGAATATCAAATTTTTCCCTATAAAAGAACATGAAAACTTGCGTGAAATGACATTCCGGTGACAATCTCCGGCGAGTCGCCAGCTTTTTGGGCTTTCGCCGGCGGATCGCCAGCGAATCGCTGGCGATACGCCGAAATGAATCTCTGGCAAGTCGCTGGCGATCGACTATGCATACGGCTGTAAGATTTCAACTTAAATTTGATTCCGTCCGCGCGGAGACCTGGATAGCTATTCACTAAGTCATGGGAGCGCTCCCATGGGAGTGCTCCCATATATTTTGCTCTCTTACTCTTAGGTGGGTATATCGTGCTTACTCACTTTTAGCACAGGTACATGCGTAGTAAGGTCAGATTTTATACTATGGGAGGGAGAATTGCGGGCTTGCCAGATTAGGTCCGTATTTATCACAAAGCAAATTTGAACTACTAAGGGCCGATTCCACCGTTGAGTTAAACGGAGATTAAAATGACATTGTTAATGTAAAAATGTCATTTTAAACTTCGTTTAACACAACGGTGGATGGGTCCTTAAATAGTAGATCAAAGTTATTCTGTCGACTTGGCAACGTTGGCATGGGAGTATGGGAGCATGGGAGTGTGGGAGTGCTCCCATGAGTTAGAGAATAGGTATCCTGGTATAATTTTAATAGGTAGGTATCGATGAAATTTAAAATCCAATATATCGTCTTTTATTTTTCTATTAGCTAAAGAGAGCAAACCGTAATAAATAACACTTTCTTGAGTTTATAAAATCACTTATTTCTTATACATATATAATTTTCGACATATATTATGTACAAATCAATTATTTGATCAATAAATTAAATATAATAATGCTACGCCGATGGTTACGCTTAAAATATAATTCGACAGTCATGTTTAATAGGGAATGTAGATACAAACGCCCTGACACTTTCTATATCTAAATTTACCTATCTATCCTATATATACTTATCCGGGAGATGGAAACATTAACCACACTATTCATTTTTATACTCACTCTAAATTTACGCTGCCTGTTTGAAGCTTAAAAACCTGCTTTCGTTGGTCGCAAACTTCCAGAGCAGTCATAAATCCATTGCTCAAACCAATCTTACCGCAAGATTCTTTGATTTGATTAATTTTGACATCGTTGAAACCTTTTAACGCCAGCAATTTTTTACGTATGGTCATTTGTAAACCTTTAATCGTGTTCACGCCTATTTTCTTCAGAGCATTAATGTCTTCTTTCGAAATGCCCTGCTCTTCCAGTAAGTCGATATCTTGGAAGAATATTTCTTCCTCTTCGAGATCTAAGTTTTCGTATGATTCGACTGTGCCCGCTTCTGTAGCGGATTCGCTGGCGTTAGCGTTAACTTCCATTTTTTCGATATTTTGAGCTTGAGACATTTCGAGTTGTTTTTAGGTCTTAAAATGTAAAACTTCTTATGCTACTATGCTAATTTCGTAATTTTCCTAATGTTTTTATAATTTGAATTCAAATAATCAAGTTTGCTCTGATTGACATCGCTGCCAACCTATGATGTAAAAAAAACCGGCCAACCATATCTGTCTAAATAGAGAATAACGTTCCGGTGTTGCCAGGTTTTTTACCATCTGGTTTTACTTGAATAAAAAAATGACGCACATTTATTGGAAGAAAGGTGTTTTGCCATTGGCTAAACCGGGCAGAGCCTAATAAATAAGTTATTTTGAATCTAAAATCGTTGATTTCTTATATTTAATTATCGCATTTGCAAAATAAAATTATTTGATTAATAATACATTTTGAAAAATATTAATGATCCGCCTATGATTACGCTTCAAACAGTAGCGTAACTTGACACAGGGAGCCTTGTATATTTTACTAAGGTATTTTTCGCGGCATAAAGCAACATGATAGATTATGTTATTTAGACATACCTGATTGGTCTAAATGTTGGTTTATGCCGCGAAAAATACCTTTTTATATTTTAGATAAAATAAAGAGTATTCGGAAGTTATAAATCAATTGCTCAAACCAATTTTGGAGAACATTCTTTGATTCAATAAATTTTAGCATCATTGAATCTCACTTGAAAGACTGTCGCCAAGGGTCAAGGTCTAAGATTTTCGTACCCTAATTTAAACAAGACATATCCAAACGCCTATCCATTTCTGATCCCACGACTGACGAATCACCTCAATTAAACGGTTCCGGTAAGGAATAAGAGCAGAAAATGTTTTAAGCAATCAAGGGGTTTTATAGACTGATATATCCGTCATGGTCCTATGAGTCTCCACCTTAGTAGATATAACCTAATTGTGAAATAAAGTATTATCGTAGATTAGACATTTTTGAATTTTAAAGTAAAAAAACATGATATTGGGAGCTATGATTGAACGTTTACGTTATCCGTAACGTACATGTTAGGCCGAATTTTTAAAGTAACGAGGCAAGTTCGGATGATGGAAAACTGTTAAATTAGAAGATAACAGGCGGAAAATAACAGTAACGTATTGGAAAAAGTTTTCCATCATACGAACTTGCCTCATTACTGTTAAAACTCGGCCTAACATGTACGTTACGGATAACGTAAACGTTCAATCATAGGACCCAATCTCGTTTCCTTATTTCAATTGACTGACGTTGTTGCCAACCATAGTAATTGTCTAAGTAGAAAATCTCATTCCGATGTTGTTAGGTGTTTTACCGACGTCTACTTTTACTTGAATTGAAGCATGATGGTTATTTAAGGTTTTATTGGAAGGAGGTAATGAATATGGAGCTCCAATTTCGGATATGTTTATAACAAATTTGTTCCAATTATCTAGATTGTGCTTAAAAATAAAAGTCTAGAATCGTTCTTGTTTTTTTATTAAAAATGTTGAAATAATTTCATTAAAAATGTTGCAAAATATGAATTTCGTACACACCAAATTAGGTATACATTAAAATTATATGTAATATTAACAAAATACAGATCTATCGATAAAAAAATGTAAATCACATTAAATAATGGATAATAATTATTAGTCTTACATATCACTAATCTAATCCTACATGTAAATATTTGGCTTGGATATATATAATGGTATAAAATTATTTTTTTTTAATAAAATTAATATTTAAAATTAGGTACCTTAAAATAATCTTTAAAATATTCAAAATGTTGACGTTTAGTCATTTTAGTTACTTTAACAGATGTCATGACATAAATCAGTCAAAATTGGATATTCCGCATCTAAACTATTCAAAATGATGACGTTTAAACTGTCATCAGTCATTTTAATTACTTTGACAGATGACATAGCAAAAAACCATTAAAATTGGATATTTCTCATCTAAAATATTCAAAAAATTGACTTTTAAACTGTCACCAGTCATTTTAGTTACTTTGACAGATGTCCTAATAACAATTCTATCCAAATTTGATTGGTGAGTACGGAAAGTACACGCTTTTTGAACTGACGCGTCTTTTAACCAGCGCTCTGTATATGCTCGAAGACAGAACGCTAGTTAAAAGATACGTCAGAGCAGAAAGTGTTAAAAGTGTGTACTTTTCGTACTCGCCTGATATTTAGCTTCTAAAATATTTTTAAACTGTCACCAGTCATTTTAGTTACTTTGACAGATGACATAAAAAAGTAAAAATTGGCTATTTCGATTATTTAAAATGTCAGTTAATTAAAAATTAATAAACTTGGTAACAGATTCGAATTAGATAAGTTTATTTTCATTTCAAATCGTAGCAAAAATGATAGTGTGGCGGATCAGGTGGGATAGGTGGGGGATCCTGAGGAATCGCTACACCTTCGGCGTCTAATAATCTCAATTTAATTTCCATACTCAAAAGAGTATCCAGATCTTTTTCAGTTTCTTTGCTTTGCATTCTGTTTCCTATTAGAGCGTTGATACCGTCAGTCCAGTAAGCCAAAGCTTGCTCGTCAGGGGCCACACAATCCAAGGACTGCAAATCCACTCCTGAAAAAATAATGAATAATGTAGGTATTGTGAGAGTGGTACCCGAATTTCTTACCTTCCAATGCCAACGAGAAAGCTAATTGATATGAAGCCTTCCTTCCTTTCATGTGAGGACAATCTCTGCCTACCAATAGAGCTCTAATATCGGATACGGCCAGTTTTGATTGCAATTCTTCAGTTGAGGGGGCGCTTTTTTCATCGCAGTCACCGTAATGAAGCACCTTGTGATTCGGAGACAGTCGCATGTACCAAAATTTGTCCTTTATGCGCTGTCCACGAGGCGAATATTTCGTGAATCTCGTACCTGTAAAAAATGTGTTAAAAGCTTGGAAAACGAAACTAAACCTACCAATACCTTCAACTAAAAATGCCAGTCTCTGCTGCTTGATTAACCCCATAATATCGGGGGTAATTTGTTCTCTCAGTTCTACTACAGGCCTGGCGTGGGACTCCCATTCCTCCCTGGTGTTCCTTTCGGATTGCCACAGCTGCGTAATCTCATTATATGTTAAAGTATGTAATTTAATCTAAAAGAAGCAAATATGAAAACATCCAGTTTCATCATACCATTTTTGAAAATACCTTTAGTTGATCTAGAGAAGCAGGAGTAGTCTCCAAAGCCCTAACGATCTGTTCTTGACCCACGCTGGCAACTTTTTGAAAATCTTCTGCGGTAGCTCTCATTTCCTTCCAAGTCTTATTCAGAAGGACTATACAGATGCAGAAACATTCCTCGAAAGGGTGATCGTGGGTGAAGAATAATGGTTGATAAGTGACGCATTGTTCAGAAGGTGGTTCACCTAAAATTAGTGGAATTAACCCACAATTTTATCTCGAAAATTAAATAAATCCCTACCTATCTTTAAAATATCACACAAAATCCTAACCAATTCCACGCTAGCCCTGCCAAATGGACACTCATGCTCATCCGCTCTACAACTGTTCTCCAACACTAACTTGGTATAATTTTCTGGATGGTTCCTAGCAAAGTAGACCATACAATCAAGAGCCAACAGTCCCGGTGGGGTTTCATTGAAATCTAATGCAGGATTGATGTCATTTTTGAATCCCAATTTCTTATAATCTCGAGTAAAACCACCTGGACCTCTTAAACTTGACGCACCTTCACTTTCGAAAGCTATACGACGAAGTTCTTTGATCTTATCATGGCCATCTTGATCCTAGACAAAATTCGAAGCCGTGCTATCAAATGTTTTATTTATTGTATTGCTGTTCTCACCTGAGGGTCCATTTTCGTTGTCATTCTTTGCTCCAGAAGCCCCAACATCAACGTTTGTAAAACATACAGCTGATGTGCCATTTCGTTGCCCTTCGCAGCACCTGTCTGCAAAATGTGACTTTGGATGACCGTCCTGACTTGTTTAGAGGTTAGAGTCGCCACTAAGGTTCTTCTTTTGGCTACATCAGCCCTAGAGAGCAATGAGTTGATCAAAGCTACAGCATTCTGCTGCACCACTGGAGTGGACGATAGATGGGTCACTAAAGAACCAATGGGAATTTCTCTTTCGACCTAAATATTTTTGTAGAACAAAAATGTATACACTAAGGCATTTCATTGCAATTAACTGTGCAGTGCATTTCGGTTTTAAATATAGCACATAGTTCAACCCGAGAATACTGATCAAGGAGAAGCGACAGTAGCTGTCGGTGCCTTTGATATCGCATGTATCTTTTTCACAACATGACTTTGATTAATACACAACTTAATACGCTGAGAAAACATGCTTATTTTCTACACTGAGTGAAATAGTTTGGCAAATTATCTGAAATCATTGTTATAGTCCATGCGCAAATATTGTATTGTGATTTAATTACATTGAAGTAGTTAGGGTTTATAGCAATGGTGAAATTTGGTCACCAAAATATAATTCATTATGTAATAATTAATAATTTGTTATAAAAGTAAAAGACGTTTATTATTTTATAATTTATCTATAAAATTTGTTCAATATTTGGTATATTTATTGTTAAAAATGTAATAAAAGCCCCATATTTAAATTAAATTACCTTTTCCTTAAGTAAAAATAAGGTAAATAAAATTAAGGGAACAAAAAAAAATTTAGATAATAATTAAAAAGACATTAAGTTTGAGAGGTTTAACTAAATGTTTGCAATGTGCATATATTTTCAAAACTTTAGGTTTAAAAAGTACTAACATATATTTAGAATTTCTGGATTTATATTATATTAAAAGGACTTTCAAGTGTATTACTCATTTCTGTAGAAACAAGTGTTTTCTCACAAAAATAAGCCAGATGTCATTTAAGGTTTATGTATTTAGAGTTAAATACCTGGCCTGGCTATCACCCAGACAATACAAATATGTCCATTGGACGTCATTCGATATACAATTTTGGATGTATAGACGTCCAAAAATAAGTTTTTTCTGGACTTCCGACATCCAATGGTCGTCCAGTGAAGTATAAAAATTGCACACCTTTGACCATTCAGAGGACGCCCAATTCTGGAATATATTTGGACGTCGAATACTGGACATTCAAAAAACGTTCAGGATTATATTTCCATTGAGACCACATTCCTAGTTTTTTTACAGAACCGCAACTCACCACACACTATTTTATATTATTAATAAGTTGTTTATTATTTTCGCAAACCGCTATACATTTATTTTTTTTTTAATTAAAGATCGCTTGACCTGAGCAGGGATCGAACTCACGACACATCCATTATCGTTCTACGCTTTCAATCGCTAGACGAGCTCGACCAAGGAACCACTTGAAAACTTTTTACTATACTCTGTTTTTAAACTAGGAGGAGCCATTTGAATTTAAGTTGGTAATTCTGTAGACTTCTGATTGGTCAGATTGCAGTCAGCTTCACACATCACTTTTTAGCATTAACATCGCAGCTAATTCAATTACTGACAATTATTGACAATTCTGACATTTTGTATGTTTAGTTTTGTTATTGCTTTCATCTCATTATACCACATACTTTGATTACTATACGGGGCAAGAGAGAGGTCCGACACGCCCAACATAGGGCGCGGCCATTTTGATTCCTATGACACAGTTTATAGCTAAAGAATCAGATCGTTCACTCTGCGTCGGCACTTTTGATCTCAATGTTCCAGTTTATATACTGCGCAACACGGATAATACAATATATGACAACGGCCTATAATAAAACAGCAGTCTTCTGCGTATCCTGAATTTGTATCCCTGGAGTGGATGTTATTTTAGAACTTTCAACTAGCCCGAGTGAGCTAACTGATTCTTTAGCAATAAAATGTGACTCCAAAAATAATATTTACTGACACTGACAGCAGCAAGCAAAATATCAGGTGCGTTTTAATCATCCGCCTCTGCTTCCGGAATTGTCGGTTTAGTCGTTTTAACATGTCAGATTAAAACAAGAAAACCGACAATTCCGAAGCAGAAGCGGATGATTAAAACGCACCTATTAAAAATATTGCGCCAAGATGTAGGCAACACGTAATAAGGGTTCAAAATGGCGGAGTTTTCTATCTCCTTTTAAAAGGCACTCAGAAAGCTGCGCAGTGCGACCATTCTCCGTATAGTAAAAGAAAATCAAAGTATGTGCATTATACACTGAGTATGGGTAGCAATTCCTGAAAAGCCATTGAAGAAAGGGAAGACGCCTTATTATTTTACATGCTGGTTTTCAGGAAAATTTTGTAAAAAATGCATTATTGATTTTTGAAGGCAAAAAGATGGGAGATTACCATGAAGAGATGAATTCAGAAGTATTTTAGAAAAAAAAAACTAACCACTTTATTACTGATTTTTTAAAACTAAAAATTGATGAATTTCTTAACAAAATAATTAAAATGTAACTAAATATTGAAGTAAACTTTATTTATTAGACAATAAACCGTTTACAAAATTGCTAATTAATATTAAAAACACCTACTACATTAGAAATAATCTTAATTTAGCACAAAGAGCTAACAATATATCAACAATTTAAAATTATGTACTTGAAATTAATATATAAGTATGTAAATATAAAAATTACAACTAGAGTTAAAAGGAACTACAATATTAAACAGTTAGGTAGTTCGATATAATGTTGACATGTAGTGTTATGAAAATATTATTTCCAGTTTTCAAAATAAATCCTGACTCATAATAGGCCTGTAAGCTTTTGAATGCCTTCATGGGCTTTTTAGCGAATCAACTATGGGTTAACACTAAATAAGCTACAATATCTATATTACTCCTAGAAGAAATTCCAGTCACTGTGTGATCCAGTTGCTTCAAATCCAGTTGTTATTCACTGAGAGTAAAGAGTACTGTATGGTATAACTATAGCCACTAATTAACTTTTACTTAAGTTTATATCTATAAATAACAAATATATCCTTGAAAATGTAAACAGACCATATTTTTATATTTTATACCAAAATGTATCTGGATATTCTGTTAACAATTTTCTTAAATATTTAATATATTTAAAAAAATCATAGTTATTCTCAAAAAGTCGATTTTGACATTTATTCGCTCTTAACCCCTCATTGGCCGTTCGCCGACTAGGGCCGATAATGATAACTATTTCATACATTTTGAACACCACTATATTTCGGAACACGCTCTTAGTAATGAATCTAGTTACTTTTCCCTGTGTAAATGCGTTGTTTCAATTCGCTCCTCCTAGTTTAAAAACAGAGTATAGATATAGTTATAATGGCACAGCTTATACAATACAGCTCCACAACTCCGTGTCGGCGTCTTTGATGTGGTGGTCGAGAACCAAGCGAGACGGAATGGTGCTATCTCTGCTAGATTGGAGGGAAAAGTCGGGCCCGGATTAAAAAATATATTTATTATTGAAATAATTGAAGACCTTGGCGTAATAAGGTTGGTTACATGCCACATTAAGTAAGTTTTGAGAAATTAAGTTTTAAATTTATTTTAAATCTGTCAAATATAAATAAAAAAATATTTAAATATAAATATTACGTATCACACCACATCTTTCGGATTAGAGATAAAATAATTTGTATGTGGCTAGTAATATCCTTGCTAACAGATGTTTTGAGCTAAAACAGTCACTTCATGACAAATTGTGGCCGTGGATGCAAATCAAGTGGTACCCCGTGTGTCTGGCAAGTGTCACTCATCGCGCAAAGGGTTTATAGTGTTTATACCTAGATAAACGACTGCTTCGACTGACTGAGGTCTGAGAACTCGATGATATTCTGGGTTATTATAAAGAATCGGTAACTTGTGCTTTTATTTTAACAATATCGGTTTTATTTAGATGTATTTTTATACATAAAGATTTGTAGAAGTAATAATTTGACAAATTTTATTTATATATTATATCTTTATCTGACCGTACCGAAGTAGAGAATTTTGAAACTTGACAGTAATGTGAAATTTAAATTACAATATTATGCGAAATTATATAATTAGTACCTATTTTAGGTAGGTACTAAATTTGTACTTGGAGAAAGTAATATCGATTTTTACAAGAAAACTCGAAAAGTAAATTTAGTTCCTATTTATTGATGTAAACATTAAACCAAGAAAACAAATAGTAGTTTGTGCAATAAGAGTGGATATGGACAATCCACTCGAGTTGTACAGTATATTTTTTCTACGACCCACTGACGAAAATCTACAAATTAAAATAAATTATTTTAGGTTATTTAGAAAAAATAACTAATTTTAAAAAACATTATGAATTTTAGTAATTTATAAAATAAACATAAAAAAAAATATTCAATTTAATTTAATTAGTCCTCGGCCTAGATTCGATCCCGGGATTTTCGCGTGGAACGCAGATGGTCTGTCCTCATCTTCACCGACACTTTTAGGATTTTAGTTTTAATACTCGTAATTAAATTAGTATCATGTAGATTGATTAAAATTTAATTTTTTTTTTTCATTTTTTTAAGTGTTCTCACTACCTAAAATGGATATGAAATATATTCGTTTAGTTGAACACAATAACATACTTTTTTTGTAGTCTGTGCGTAGAATATCCATGTGGGCGTAGAAAAATTATTTTGAATAGAATCAAATTTACTACTTAAGGTTTATTTGACGCGGACATCAATTCTTTGAAGGTTATTGCAAATTATTTTTTGGTGAGAAGATGCAACTTATGCGGTCAGTTTAAGACATGTTTCAAAACACTCTGTATAAAATAAACCAGTTCTATCACCACTATTCGTTAGCTTAATATCTTTTAAGCCTGTATATTAAACAATTTTGAAATCAATATAAACCTACCTAAATTAGGATAATTTAATTTGGGGTCTGCATTATTCTCTAATTTCAAAAAAAAATTAATTTCAATATTTTACTGTAATATTTTTTAATTTATTCTAGGGTTAAATACCAAACCATTCTAAAAAAAAATAAAATCCAGGGTGTTCCATTTAAAAAACATACATTTTGATTTGCCAGGTAAAAACGCGACACCTTGTATATCCAAAAATATTTTTAAAATATGTATTTTTCAAATCCATATAACTTTTAATTAAAACTTTTTTGGGTGTCTACAACACAAATTGAAATATTGAACAATTACGCAGTAATGGGACACCCTGTATAAATTATGTTATTAACTATGAAAATTTCTTATAATGTGGCACTTTCCGGTTTAGGTCCTTGGGAAAATGAAAGAATATTTTCTTGCAGGTATAACCCTTATTAAAACAGCTTTTGACTCCACAAACAGAATGATGTCTTTTTTCACTCATTTCACTCACAGCTAAAGAGTCATCAAAATAATAACAGTACCTTTAACACAACAAAGAGCTCAAACAAAATCATCGAAATTATAGGCTCAACGAAATTATGCAATCAACGAAATTATGCAATCAACGAAATTATACGCACGGCTCAATACCTTATCTAAGTACGCTTCTGAACGCCAAAGCCGTCTTTTCCCTCCGAAGGCGGAGCTTAAGCGATGCGCGACGGAATCGACGCAAACCGTTGCCGCCAAGAGAGTGTTTTAGCTGTATTGTATAAGCTGTGATAATGGAATAAGATTTCAAACTTCCACTAATAGAATGAAATGCAATGCGCTAGTTCAGTGATGATGTAATTATGGTTCCACTGACAATTAAAGTGACAGTAGATTTTTTGAGTGCATTTTGTTTACCTAAATTATATCGTTTTTTTACTTTTATAAATATATTCCTAAAGTAAGTAGATAGCATGTATCAAATATACAATCGTTTAGTTACCAATTACATACCTTTAAACTATTTTTTATGACCTGTAAACAATATTTTGAAATAAAATAAAAACAGTAAAAACGTATATGTCAAATTTATTGATGTTTTCGTTAAAAGTTTGGTTAGAATTAAATGTCAGTGGAACCAAAATGACATCACACTGAACCAGCCCATAGATTCAATTTTTAATGACCAATTATATTAAAAAAAAAGGAAGTGTATATAGATGGGAATTATCTGGTAGACTTAATAAATAATGACCTAAGAGGGACGTCCACTGGACATCAAAATACTACTAAACTTAAAATTAAGTCAAAAAACAAATGTTCTCTGGGTATCGATATTCAGCTGTCAAATTAATTAGCATAAACGGACGTACACTGGATGCCCGGATATGGACGTCCTAACCCTCAAATGGATCTAAAATGTACGTCCATTGTGTGCTGTCTGGGCATAGACGAATTTTTAAAAATAATACTTATTTAAGTATGTACCAATATTTCCAAAATCAATTCCAGTATGATTCATTTAATAAATATAAATATGAATGGGCAAAACATCTTTTATTGACATAATTGTAACTTACAATTTAGCCATAATAAAGGGATTTTGTCCACTTTGATCAATCCTAATTGAAACACGCGGATTTATTAAATTTTTTTAAATATAATTTCAAAATAAAATAAACAAAATCTGCAGTTCATTGTTTATTAAATTTATTTAAAAGAAGACAAACATATTTCAGAAAATCCAATACCTACATATGAAAAATAAAATGTCAAAAATGATTAAATCATTATACTTAATATTTATACATGTGATAAAATTCTTAGTTTCCTAATAACTTTTTTGGCACATTTTATATCTGTATTAGAATACCTAAGTGTGTAAAAAATCTTCATCTTATTACTACACAAAACAAACACCAAAAAATATCACTTAACATTGCTCATGTACTAAACACAACTTGGACTGACTTTGGCAATTAACATCATTTTGAGTGATACACAACTTATTTTCGGGTTCAACTATGATAATATAATTTAATTTTTTGCTAAATTGGATCCGAAAGTTTATACTTAATATTGAAACTACTAAAAACTATGTTTGTATTATGTACAAAATAAATTTGAACTTGACGATTGATTTTTATTAATTTATGTAGTAGGTACAGAAAATAATTTCTATATGTACCTTATATCTAACCTAACTTAAACAACTGAAATGATAATAGTTTTTCTGTCTATGAAATAAAATATAGCTGTTAACTCACCTGTCCATATCCTTCAGTACTGTTAAGAACCACATTTTCCAAAATAGATAATGCTGCCTGTGTAACTTGCGGTTCTTGGGGAGTATTAACAAAACTAGCTACCCTAGAAATAAATTCACCATTTAAAATATCCCAAGATACAATCCCGTGTTCCATTAGCTCTACAAAAGATAATAAGGTATGCGCCAAAACTTTGTCTTTGCATTTGGCCCCTTCAATTTGTTTTATTAGCAAAGTCAGACCCTGTTTATTGATAAAATCTAGTGCAAAAGTAATATCAGCGCTCAAAATTGATAATTTATTCAAAGCGGTTGTTTTTTCTTCTGGAGTACCTGTGTTTAATTTCAACAGAATGTCCTGAGCTGTCTTTGAAGGGGAATACTGCAATCTTAATACCGACCCGTTTTTAATCTCATTTCTATTTTTTTCTGTGATATAATTGTTGTTGTTACTTTCATTAAACTGTAGGGCATATTGTTCTGGTTCTGTGAGATTCCATCCGTTGCACAGTTCTTGGATTATCCCTGCGAGCGGTTGTTTTTGATTAAATTCTATTAGCTGTGGGACCTGGTCGGTCATTTCCACAGCTATTTTAACAATATTTGCGTCCTTCATTGGAGGCATTTTGAGATTACTTTACCAGAAAAGAATAAATTAATTCACATACTTATAATATGTAGTTTTTTATTTATTATTAAAAAATTTAATCATTTAATTAAAACATTTCCGCCCATAATTTACTTCGTTGTCAAACATAAAAATCAAAACATTTCAAAATCGTTGGAATGTTGGTATGAATGGTAGAAATGTCATTTGTCACATTGGAGCGACTAACTCAAGGAATTCCAGTTCTAGGCAATATTGTATACGAGGGATGCATGAAAAATGTAGGTCCTATTATACAAGGTTTGATCGATATAATAATAATAGAGAGTTATTGCAAGTTTACTTAAGGTCAGTCACTATTAGTGCCACTCTTATTTTGACATCTGAGCATGCAAAGATCACATACATTCTAGAACTGACTTTATTAAAGATTGTGCCTGTCCTTAATTGTGGATGTTTAAGGACCGATTCCACCGTTGTGTTAATCGGAGATTAAAATGACATTGTTAATGTAAAAATGTAATTTTACACTCCGTTTAACGCAACGGTGGAATCGGTCCTAAGGACCGCAGTTAGTGGCGACTTTATAGTTTTCGGGTGCGCCTGCCAACATTCGTATCAGTTCGAAGTTTTTTATTATTAAATATTTAATATCATAGTCATCTAAATCTTCTAAAATTGTAATTTCTAATGCCTCTTCCATATTATGAACTATTATAAACAACAAAAAAGATGAACTATAATTTAAAATTTTTAAAATGAGGTTAGAAATCTGTATAAGGACAAGGACTCTAATGTCAAAATTTCAGGTTTGCAATAAGTCTTATTTTAGCATGGAACTTGTTTGCCTCTAATTACGTTGTCACTATTAGTGGCTGACGTTATAGAAATTTGCAATAACTCTCTAGCAATAGGTCTTTTCCTTTGCATCGAAAGTGTAGCACTGGGCTACACCAATTCTGAAAATATCGTTCCATATATACAAATTGTATGGATGGAACGATATTTTCAGAAGTGACGTAGCTCAGAGCTACACTTTCGATGCAAAGGAAAAGACCTATTATTTGTTCAAAACAAAAACAATTACAATAAAAATTAGATTGTACAAAATACGGAATAAATATAAATAAACAATGAAGCTATGATAAATACAGCTTATGTGTGATATTCAACTAATAATAGAGAATTAAATTAGGCTTAAATACAAATTTTATATGTCAAAATAAGAACGGCGCTAATAGTAGGTGACCTTAAGGGTCGGTTTTTCAATGTCCAGTCAAAGTGGCTGTTACGTAGCTGACAGCTATATCGTAGCTGGCAGTCAAAGTCCCTGTTACCGATGGAAGTGTTTTTCATCACGAATTTAACTGCTAGCTACGTAGTCTAATAGTAACCGAAATCATGCAGGGCCGAATTTTAATTCTAAGGATGAGTGTGCTACGTTAATTTCCGTTATTCTGAAACAAAAATTAGTCGAGAATTAATGAAGCAAATTTCAAGATTTTTTACATGGTTGAATAGAGAATAAAACCCTCTTTCAAATGAGCTATCACTCACCACCCCATGCCATTTAAATTTTTCGAAAGGGTTGCTCCCCTCGAGTAAGGGATGAAATTAAGGGTAAACTAATCATACAAAAATGTACATTGTAGAAAACAAAAATCGACCTGTCTCGGCGATTTTCCTAACAAGACTCCAGTAACGAGTTAGTTAGGGGGGGTAAGACTTAAGATTCTCACTGTATATAATTCTTGCTCAAGCGTAAATATGGATTACATTTCTCCTGTTAGTCTCCGTCATTTTTAAATTCTAACCTAAAATAATTTCAAATAATATAAAATAAAATTGTAAAATTTACAAAAAATATGTTCAATAATAAAGGTGCGTTGTCTTTATTAAACGACTATGGAGGAGAAAGTTCAGATGATGATGTCCCAGGTCCAAGGGTATCTACCAAACGAACTTTTAAAGAAGACAATGAAACTGTATCATTCAAAAAAAGGTACAAAAATTATTGTTTAAACTTTTTCGAAAATGTAGACTAAAGTTATTTGCAGATTACCGATTCCAGAAATACTACTAAAGAATGATATAGACACTGAGAATCATATCGATGATCCTAGTTTACATGGGGGACGAAAAAGGTCTTTTGCACATGAAAGGGGCAATTGGGCTACTTATGTATACATTTCTTGTAAGTTTTTATTTAACAGCTACTTACTGCCACTATAATCATATATTTTTCTTCAGTGGAACAACAGGACGGAGTGAAAGATTTAGCAACAGAAATTTTAAAGTGTGTTCCTAAAAATATAAATCTTAATACTACTGATGATTTTCATATAAGTCTGACAAAAACTGTGATATTAAGACACCACTGGATTACTCCATTTGTAGATACTATAAAATTAAGGACAAATTGTTTTAACAAGTAAGAAATGTTTTTATAAATAAAATAACTAGGTATTTAAGAATTATTTTTTTGTAGATTCATGATTTTGTTTAGTAATTTATTAAGGATATATTGTAATGAAGAAAGAACTAGAACATTCATAGGTTTACAAATTAGATCTGGGTATGATTCTTTAATAAAGTTGGTTGGTGTTATGAACGAATGTTTGGAGGAATTCAAGTTGCCACCATTTTATGAAGTATGTTACTTTTTTTACTAGTTATTTTTTTACTAATTGCTATAAATTTTAGGACCCCTCTTTCCACATGAGCATTGCTTGGTGCGTTGGTGATTTAGAAGAAGAATTAAATGAAATATTACCAGAATTGAATTCCAAATTATTAGATCTTATGGATACTTATAGCCAAGACAACTGGTACATTTATGTAAATAGTATTTTGTGTAAAAGTGGAAATAAATGTTTTAAGTTTGAATTAACGTAAACAAATTGGTTTTATTTGTTTTTCTTTCAAGTTGACAAGCAGAATATATCATGTAGCGAATTTATTTTCACTCATTATTCTGTACAGTTGATCACCCTGTAGTATCACGTTGGTCATAACTCCACATGAGTTGCCTCTAGGAGAAAATACACAAAGATTATCTCCACGAGGCCTAGATATAATTGAGATTGCTCTTCAAAACATGCTTGGATAATATATTCTTAAAAAACAATATTAACTGAAAATCTATTGGTGAACTCTTATGTAATCAGCTATGATATGACTGATCATGATCCTATTATGATAAATATCTCACAATCTGCCAAGAACTACCCAAGTTCCTACAATACATTACTACTATAACTAAAATCGATACTGATAAATTAAAACAAAAATTCGAAACTGTAAACTGGGAAAGTGTTTGCATTGAAAATAATCCAGAAATTGCAACACAACTTTTTTATGACACATCTTAATATCATTGAAACATGTCAAACCACTCAAAATATTAAAATCCATAAAAAAATAAAGCCATGGATAACAAATGGATTAATTAATTCTATTAAAACTAGCTATAAAACTTAAAAAAGATCTACAAAAAAACTATACTATTAACAAACTCACTATAAAACACATTTAGAAATAATTTGAACAAACTAATATCAAAAATTAAAATTACTATTATAACAATAAAATAAATCAAAACAAAAATGATCTGAAAAAACTTATCAATTAGTCTCTGAAGCAACTAATGAAAATCATAAAAAAATAATACCAATTTACAGATTGTTAACCAACATAATGAGGAATTTGAAAATGATAATGAAATGGCGAATTACTGCAATAACTACTTTTCGACTATTGGCACTAATATGTTCACAAATATCCCTGAATGTAATGTGGATTTTCCTGTGTCACTGAAATATCAATGTTTCTGAAACCGATATGCGAAAACGATATTATAAAACACATAAATAGATTAAAACACATTAGTGCCCCGGGATTTGATTGTATAACAGTAAAACATCTGAAACTACTACATCCGTGTATTTAGTGGAACCTTTAATGCATATAATTAATTGTATTTTTAATACAGGAATCGTACCTAAACAATTTAAAACTTCAATTATAACACCTATTTATAAAGCTGGCAATCCAAAATTAATAACTAATTATAGACCTATTAGTTTAATTAGTAATGTAGCCAAAATATTTGAGAAATGTGTGAAATATAGACTGATAGATTTTTTAAAAAACTAATTACTTATTTCCCAATATGGCTTTACTGAGGGTCTTAACTCAGGAGATGCTATGCATGAATTGATTTCATATGTTACTGATGAAATGAATACTGGTAACAAGTGTATAGCTATATTTCTAGATCTAGCAAAAGCATTTGACACGGTGCCACATCAGAAGCTCTTAAATGTTCTTGAACAGAATGGAGTGAGGGACATATCGCGCGTGTTGAAGGTTTTTGAAAATTATTTGACACACAGACAACAGAAGGTAAAGGTCAGAGACAATGTGAGTAACCCTGAAAATATACAAATCGGAGTGCCTCAAGGGACTGTTCTGGGACCTATACTATTTAATGTATACATTATGAGCTTAACTCATATTGCTATTCAAGGTGAAGTTGTATATCATATGCTGATGATACCGTGCTACTCTTCAGTGATAAAGATTGGAAAGCCGTCAAGACACGTGCTATATCTGGAATGGAACATGTCAAAAACTGGCTGGATGTTTTTAAATTGTCTTTGAATGTTAACAAAACAAACTACATTGCTTTTTCAAAGACAGTGGCTGATCGACCTCAATTTAGAAGCTTAACATGTCAAAAGTTAGACATACAGGAAACAGAAACATCCAAATATTCTGCCGTTATACGAAAAAACCACATATTCGACAAAATCTTAAATTTAAGAAAATGGAGAGTATAGATTTAAATTATAAATACATTACAAATACATTTTTTCAGACAACTACTTTTGGTACCTAAATTTACATACCAAAGAAGCTAATAAATGAGAATAAAAAAACTATTGATTAAGCAAGAAATTTCCGTTTTATAACAAAAAAATAAAAAATACGGCATATTTAAATGGAAAAAATATTTGTAATACTAAACAACAAACACGTAATTACAATTTGCTAAGGAAAAACTACGTATAACGTGCATATACGCAGTTTTACCTTCGAAAAATGTAAATATATGAACTTCTGCTTGTAGTTAAGGTGATTACAGCATCATCTTATAATTTTCGGACAAGGATATCTCAAAAAGTAATTTTTTTAGAAAATTTAAATTTGGGCAAAATAAATTAGGCAATAATATCTAGAATATGCATATTTTTTAAAGTTTTAATTCCTGCCAGTTTCCGAGAAAAAAAAATCAAAGGCCTTTAAATTTTGAAATATCATAATGAAAATAAATGCATTCCTCAACAGCACTATTCCCACTAATCCCCAAATTTAAGCTCTTAATCTCTTGTTAATGATTTTTTAAAATTCGCCGAAATTAGTGGCTAAAACGCCTCGTTAAGTGCTTCTTTCTAGTGTAACGCGTCTGTAACTATCGTATCGTACACTCTGAGTTATCATTCGTTTCTTGCAATGATTTACACCAGTTTAAACCAGAAAATACCACTTAACAAGGCGTTTTAGCCACTAATTACGGCGAATTTTAAAAAATCATTAACAAAAGATTAAGAGCTTAAATTTAGGTATTATATTAAGAATAGTGCTGTTGAGGAATGCATTTATTTTCATTATGATATTTCAAAATTTAAAGCCCTTTGATTTTTTTTCTCGGAAACTGGAAGGAATTAAAACTTTAAAATATATGCATATTCTAGATACTATTGCCTAATATATTTTGCCAACATTTTAATTTTTTTAAAAAATTAATTTTTGAGATATCCTTGTCCGAAAATTATAAGGGGGTGCTGTAATCACCTTAATATAAAAATTTTTAGCCTAAATAAATTTATTTTTGTAAATGTTTTACATTTTTAATTTTTGTGTTTCACCAAACAGACTTTTTTACAAAAGAAGGCACCCATAATAAAACCAAAGCCTATAAAACTTTGAAACTTATTTATTAAAAAATATTTAAAAGTACAAACGATAGTTTTTAATTTAAGAGTAACAAATACTTAATTCATTTATTTTAACAAATAGGAATGCTTTGCCAAAAAGGTAACCTCGTGTCTGACAGTGGACTCAAATTTTTTAAAATCGACTCTTTTTTTCGGCGCTTATTCCACACGGCTTATTGCGAAAATTTGGCCGCATAAGATTAGGATTTCTTTGAAACCCTTCTTGCAAAATATCAACTTCTGTAAACGTACTATTTTCCAAAGTTCTGTATTCGAACGAATGAAATTTTCCCTTTGGTAAATATTATTTCAGAAACGTCTCGTAAATAAGGCTTTAATCTATTTATCTTTGTAATCGAAGAACAGTTTTTCCAATTCACCATTTCATTAATGTTAAGGCTTTTAACTGTTACGTGGACTTTATAAAAGCGCTTTGTACTGCAGAAATATTAAATGCTAAGCAACAGCCACGTAAAAGCGCGCCTACTAAGTAAAAACTACGTATGCGCTTCGTTTTTACGCGGGTATTTCTTAGTATTTAGTAAATACGTGGTTTATATTTAGTAAGACTACTCAATGAGGTGCAAATACGTGAAAATAACAAAGCGAATTTATTACTTCCACAGCAATATACGCGATTTTTTCTTCGTCAACATGTTCAGAAAGCTATTTTAAAACATGAAATAAATATCTCAATTTTGGAAAAAATGTCGAATACGTGTTTTTTTCTTATGACGGCAGTATTTAGGTATAATTATAGACCAGTACTTACAATGGGACTGCCATATAATATATATAGCAAAAAACTTAGATTTCTGATATATAAATTTTATCTTCTAAAACAATATCTCAACCAGGATCTACTAATAACATTATACTAAGTCTAGAGCTAGAGTCTAGTAGAATCTATACTACTTACGGTATGGAATCTTAGTATGGGGAGGCCTGTATGGAACTACATTAAATCAGTTAAATGTTATTCAAAACAAAATCTTGAAGTTAAATATATAAAAGAGATAGAGTGTGTCCCACTATAACTTTATATAATGAAAAAATTAGTAATGTTAGATGTTTATATATTCACGCAGTGTGTTGTTATATACAAAAAAAAAGAATTTTTAATAAACCCTTTAGAACATAGACATAACACTAGAACTGCATCGAACATGTGCATTAAAGTTCCAAAACCAAATAGTGAGTTTTTTAAAAACAGTGTAAATTATCTAGGGACAAAATTCTATAACGCTCTACCTCTTCATATAAAATTATTAAACAAATATAAAAAATTCTGTAAAGTTAGCAAAATATACATTTTCCAAAATAATGCAAAGTTTATCAGAATATTCCAAGAATAACGGACTTAATACATGGATTTTTTTAAATAGTTTTTTTTCTGTTTCTTGCATAAATTGTTCCAAATTTTATTTTTTATTTAAAAAAAAAAAAAATTGTTTTTTTTTATTTCTTTTATAATTCATTAAATATAATTTAAATAAAATTTTAATTTTTGTCAGCACATACAGGTGTGCTTGTTATTATATAATTAATTGGTTTCAATTATTGTACTTTATTGTAACTTATTTATTATTCTAACTTATAACTATTAAACTATAACTTAAGGTTAAATTCTTTTTAATTATATTTCGGCTTCGTCTCATAAATAATCTTAGTATAGTCTCTCCTAGAAACAACTAACGTGGAGGTATGGCCATCGTGATACTACAGGGTGATACATTTGGGGCGGTCTTTTACAGGTAAGTCAGTCTTATAATGCTCTTGAAGTTTGTAGTATCATTACGTTGACTACCGGCACGTTTTGTATTGCAATTTACATTCGGGCCAGAGGCTTATTCTATATGAGTTCAAAGTTTTAATTTTTTTGCGCTACGTTGCACAAAAAATAAATTTCGGTCATATTGACCAAGTCGACCCTGTGTAGAAGTTAGTAATTGTTGCAAAAATTTCTCTGTCATTTAGATCGTGTTGGCCTGGAGGAGAGCTAATTTCTCAGTTCTATTGACCAAGACTGGTTAACGTTTTAATATAGTATCATACTTTGTATATGCGTATTCTGTGTTGCTGGCCTCTTAGTATGTAATATGTCTATACCAGGGCTGTTCTAAATTCAAGTGTAGCCCAAAGACCACTCTGTAAACAAAACTTCGTATGGAACTTTATCAATGATTTGAAAAAACTTGTTTGTATAAATCTTTTCATGTAAAAAAAATAAAAAATATAATCATCAATATTAAATATCTATTACAACAATAAGTAGAGTTGCCAGATTTACGAAAGAGAAAAGCGTGGCAACGATGACGACAGAGGATCAGATGAAAAAAATATATATACAGTAGAGCGTCGATAATCCTGATTAATAATTGGACCGGCCTCTGTCCTGATTATCAAAATGTCCGATCTTTCGAAAAGAACCAAAAAAGGTTTTTTGATTTCATAACAGAAAGAAAACTTGCTAAAACCGTTAATAATTCACTTTTGTGGTTAAATAATTGAGCAGATAAATAAAACCGTTTTAAATATCAACTTATAATGTATTTTAATCAAAGAATATTGTTGCAGATATGTTTTCTTTTTACCATACTTGATATACATTTATTTGTCAAATAAACATCAAATACAAAAAAATATAATTTTCCCTTTTTATATATACAGTCCATTGGAGAATACAATATAAGGTTGAAAAACATCGATAATTTTTGGTCCTTCGAGCCGTACAAAAACTATGGATGAATGTGTCGCGAATATTCTCACTTTCGTCACAGCTACAAACTAATCTACAAGCGGTAAGCCTTTGTCGCAGTGTGAATAACTCAATAAAGCGTGCCATTGCCGATCCGGTTACTGACACGTTTAGCGAGAATCCTCCTTTATTCTATTTTTAAATATTACGTAACTATATGAATTGGCAATATATTCTGCTGCTTTCCTTCTAGCTTCATATTTTATTCGCTAAGACGACATGCCAGGTTTCGTAAATAGCACACAGTGTACATGAGGATATCCAACGGGCGTCCATTTTAAATTTTAATTCATATTATAAAGGATGTCTATTATTAAGTGAAAGGCTAGCGGGGAGTGGAAAAAATAAAAAAATATACGTTCCTATTTATATTAATGTAATTTTTTAGTATTCTGTTAGCTGCCTCGTGAAAATTTTTTATTCGTCGTTTTCGCCAAGTTAGAAGGCAAACGATCTTGAAGTAACGAAGTTGGGATAGCGGCTGATGAGGAAAAATTTGCCGAGAGGTATGGGGTTTGTGAGTCTTTTCCTGAATAGCAGAGTCAAACAACGGTTGATCAATTATGGAGTGAAATCAACCACGTCCGCTTTTCAGCATAGCTACAGTCGTGGATTGTGGTTAAAGATGGGAATGAAAGATGAATTATTGATTATTGTCAGGGTGTCATAGCCGAAAATGAATCTTACTAATATAGGTGAGTTTATTTTAACTTGGTTGCAGTTAGTTGTGTTTTCATTTTTTAATTTATTTCGTTGAGCCACACGTATAGAGAACAAATTGCGATTCAAAATTTTCGCAAGTTTGAGCGTCAGAACTGCGTCGATTGCGCCGTCATTTTCTTAGGATCTTTTTCATTATCCAGAGATGTTCTGTGTGTGTAGTGGTCTGCAAGTGTTGTATCCAAAGAGTTATCAGTTGAGTTATATTGTCAAGTGATTTCTCTTTTCAATCCATATATTGGACTCCTGGATCACAGCCGTTAATGATAAATTAAAGACATTGGTGCAAAAACCTGCCAAGCCTAAAATTAAAATTTGTGGAAAATAAAAAAAAATTCTAAATTTGGAAGTAAATTTGCACCTTTTCTAAATTTTGGTTTGAATATAGATATTATTGGTATGGTATGATTGTTTATATAAATTGATATTTTCTAAAAAATCACACCAAAAGGGATTTTTAATTATTTGGTCTTGTCTGACTTTTGCACCAAAATATTGAATAAAAAAGCACAAACATAAAGATCAATATTTAATTCTTAAATAAAGTAATATTCGAGTAGATAACTACATAAACATAAACATAAACATAAACATAAACGAAGAGTTTGATTCGTAAACTGCTGGGATTCTTACTCGAAGTAATCGAAGTAGAGTATATAAAAGATTTATTTCTTTTTGAAACTTTGGTAATGTTTAGTGGGGCAACTGTTCCCCTTTCCTCTATTATGATGCTTATTACGAGTAGGTGTACAACTAATTATTGAATAGACTCAAAATATTCTAAATTTTATTTATTTTTTTTAAATAACAACACTAATATAAAATATTTTAATCTAATTCGGCAGGTACAAATATGTATATAAAATTAACAATCTCATTTTCTACATTATCTTTCATTTATTATTATTCCTTCTTGCTAAAAACTCCTTCAAAGGATATCCCGCTTTTCCCAATACGTCTATTACTTTCTTATTGCATAATACAGCGTCGTTCATCCAATCTTCCAAAGTATAATCGTCAATGGCGCCGCCTAGCGAATTAGGAAGGTACTTGGGGTCGACGTCGTCATACAACGTGTCTAAATTGTTGTGAAAATGGATTCGATCTCTGAATCTTTCTGGAATGAAGACTTTGAAAATGTTATAGGCAGTGTCAAAAATCCAGGATGTGTACAGGAAGTGGACTGCTTCTAATCTAACTGGGAACGATGACTGAAATGATAAAAACAGGTTTAGAAATTCTGTGGATATACGGAGTTAGGAGATTTACTTACTGCAGCAAGATTGACCACGTGCCTGGCTAGCGTTGGTGTCAAGTACCAAACCATTTCGAGAGAAAGACCACTAAGGTCTACTAGCAAAATTGCTCCTTTTATTTGTGTTTGAGGTTCTAGTAAAGTGATTTGCGTTAAGAATACCACGAATTGTAAGAGTTCTGTTGGAGTGAATTCAGATGGTCTCCATTCACCTGCAAATAAAAAGTTAGAGTCGTAAAATGTTTAAAGTCAATTTAAATAACGTCATTTGGCGAAATATTTAAAATTCCTTAAAGCATATTGTTAAAGTCTCGAGAGACTATGTAAGTCATGCAACTCGGAAACCTTTGAATCTCAAAAATTAGTGAAATAATCTACTAAAAAAGGGCAATCTAAGATATAAAAGACAAATACGATACTATACTTCACGTATTTAGATTATTTCACGTTTTTAAAAGTAACCTGGATCCTTTAATTAACCTTAAATTTCCAGTTTGATTTTTATATTTAGTTTTAATTCGTGAAAAGCAAGCTTACTTAGAAAATTAGCTGTTACTTATCATTTTCAATTTCAATAAATATCCTCTCAAATAAAATCTTTCAGTAGACTATGAAAAACTAAATTTATTTGACGTTTAAAAATGACAGTAATATGGAAAAATATCTGGTTTCACTGTTGACAAGCGTGAATATCTAGTGAAATTAGTTTCATAAGCTCCACAAGAAATGCATTGCATTTTAAAAACAAAGATATTTAAAGTACTAAAGTTAAACCGAAAATTCTAATAATAAATATAAGTTAAAATTATCAAAGAAAATTAAAACCGTAAGTTAATCAGATCTTTCGTTTTAGAGTTATCGTGTCGGCACACATATATACATACATAGTGATATGATATTTTAATTCAAAATTAGAAGTATTACATGTTGTGGTTTTCAAATTTATAATTTGATAATCAACGTTTGATGAGTAAGGTCGGTCCTGGAAAAATTAATTTTTAAGAAAGAAATCAGGATGCCGACTATGAATTGTCAGAGAGAGAATGAAGGGAATTGTCAAATAAATTTTTAAGAAATTGTCACATCAAAATTTGAAAAGTTGGGATTGTATATTAAAATGGATTATTGAATAAAAAAAATATTATAAGAATGGAATATGTATAGGATATTGTCAGTTGAAACATAAATAAAACAATTTAAAAAGGAAAGTAAGGTACATTTTTGTTATTAAAAGCAGTAAAGGAGAAAGAGTCAGGTAGAGCACCAGGACAGAAACAGATTAGAGGGTACAGAGGAAAAAGCAAAATAATCAGTGAGGTACAAATAGGGTACAAGGGGAAAAAGGAAATTAAACAGTGAGGCGTAAATAGTAGGAAGTCGACGAATACAAGAATAAGAAGCAGAAGAAAGAAACCTTTAGTATAGTTACTGAATTAATATTTTAATTTTTTTAGTTTCAAAATTATTGTATGTAAATTCACCAAACGTTGAGGGAATTTTCGAGTAGATCAATTAAACTTGGAGGTAAGAATTTTCCTACTAACTAAAGTCCAAATCATTACTTGTGTGTTGAACCTACGGACCCTGAGAGTAAGCAATAAGAGTTAAGTTATTGGGTGAGTTAAAAATTTTTTTAATACATTACAAAATTGATTTGTCATAACAAAATTTTTATATTTCATCAAAAGTATATACATAATTTATAACTAAACAAAATAATTTTCATATCAATAGATACGCACGACGTAACGAATTGAATAGAGAGAGACACATTACATATGAAATACATTTTGTGGAACGAATATAGGCGTCTCAACACGTGCCGTGTATTGAAAGATTAGAATCCTAATGCAGATTCCGACTCTCGTCTTTTTTGACTATAAAGCATTAGTAAATATTCAAATAGTTTCGATGATATTGGCAATAGAGATATTGGCCTATATGACAAAATTTCGTTTAAAGATTTTCCTGGTTTGGAGATCATAATGACTTTAACTACTTTCGACAACCTAGAGACATATCTTAGTTTTAATGAGTTTAAGGTTTGACCCATGTATAAAAAAGGAAATAAAACTGAGGTGGAAAACTATCGCCCTATCTCTATCATCTGTAACTTTAGTAAAGTGTTTGAAATGATGCTGGAACGTAAAGTTGATTCGTTGGCGTTGTTAAGGTTCGCTTTATTTGATGGAGCTCTGGTCTGATACCGTTTTCTCTTTAGTTTTCCTTTTGCAGAGATTAGGTGCCTTATTTGTCTAGGATAGATATTTCCTGTTTTTCGCTGAGTAAAAGGTGGGGTATTATCCCATACTGCTTGTTGTATGTTGGTCACAAATAGTTCCACTTCTTCATCTAGCTGTGCTGTTCCTCTTCACGGAACTGAAAGATTTATGCTGTAATGCCGTAATAAAATTACAGACCTTTTTAATCTACCTATTTTTATTTTATAGAAAAGTAATGACAACTATCAAAAAATGATGACAATTACTAAACTCTTCGTGTATCATACTATCTGGCGATATATAGGGTGGTACGGGTGGTACACTACACAACCCCCTCCCCAGAGACACCGTCAGGTTCTAACGTCTCGAAATCTGACAAACTGTTTTCTCATCTCCGTTGGTCTAGAATTGATTACCGAAGGGCAAATATAGGAGGTTCCGTAGTATAAAATTGCTGGCTTAATTCTGTCTAACGATATGTTCTTATCTTTTCCATTGACATCTAACTTGAAAAACTTGTCAAAACGAGAAAAAAACCTTAAATGGGCCTAAAAATGGAGGTTGCAAGGGTTTTCTAACTGAGTCCTCTCGTATATTTCTTGAGATCGGAATGTACGAAATAGGAACTCTGTTTATGAATTGCGGTAGGAACGGGGCTCAATTTTCTCATTTGCTCCTTTAGATGGCTTGCAGAAACTGCTTCATTGCTTCATTGCAATCGTTACTACCGTCTAGTAAAAAATCACAAGGTGAGCCAAAAATACATATCCAGTTTGCGTAAAATGCTGACGCAATTGTCTCTGCAGAAATGTCCTCTATTTGTACTGCTACAGGCCACCTAGTAAAGCGATCGATTAGGGTAAGACAGTACCTAAATCCTTTGCAAGATGAGAGTGGACCTGTAATATCCAGATGAACGTACTGGAATCTTTTGTCCGGAACTGGAAATTCTTTAAGAACACTTTTGTTATGTTTATGGATTTTTGACTTCTGGTACGGAATACAAGATTTGGTCCAGAGAGCAATGTCTTTACGCAAGTCAGGCCATACGTATTTTTCCTGAACTAATTTTACCGTAGCTTTTACTGCGGGATGTGCTAACTTATGCAGATTATTGAAAACGGTATAGAGTAAGGTTTTGGAAATGAATGGTCGAATCCTTTCACATGATACATGGCTAGATCTTTCGATTCTAAAGTGGAAGGTATAAAGATTACATCCATTCGAGTTAAAAAGTCAGCCACAGGATTTTGTTCCCCTCCAACATGTAAAAACTGGGTAGAAAATTGGCCTATAAAATCAAGCTGTCGGATCTGTCGTGGAGATGCTTTATCTGCTTTCTGCTGGAAAGCGTAAATCAATGGCTTGTGATCCATTTTTATGACCAAGTTGCGACCTTCTAACATGTATCTAAAGTACTTAATCCCTTCATAAATTGCAAGAAGTTCCCTGTCGTATATACTGTACTTTTTCTGGGTTGAAGATAATTTTGATGAAAAAAAAACCAAGAGGTTTCCATGTTCCTTGAGTAAGCTGCTCCAATGACGATGTTAAACAAAGAACTGCATCTTCAAGTGGATGAGCAAGCAGCGTATTGTCTACGTAATCTATTTACATTGCTCGAATGCTTTTTCAGACTCGGCAGTCCAATCTATCGTTCTTGAGTCACTTTTCGTAGAATTTTTTAGATACTCATTAAGGAGCGATTGGTGATAAGCAGCGTGCTTAAGAAAACGTGGGTAGAAATTTAGCATTCCTAGAAAGCGTCGTAGTTCTTTAACTATTTTAGGGTTATGAAAAGACTGAATAGCTCTGACTCGCTCTGGCAGTGGTTCGCTTCCCTTGGTGGAAATCAAATATTCTATTTCTGGTACACCAAAAAGACATTTTGACGGGTTTTGCAGCCATGAAAAGATAGTACTGAGATGTTCTAAATACTCTTCTACATTCCTACTGGCCACTAAAATATCGCCGATGTAACAGTAGGAAAAATCTAAACCTTGAAGGACGATATTAATAAATCTTTGAAATGTTTGAGCGGCATTGCAAAGGCCAAACGTTATAAAAGGAAATTCAAATAAGCCAAATGGAGTGATTTCGGAATGTCAGGTTCAGCAACTGGAATCTGATGATAAGCTCGAACCAGGTCTAGTTTACTGAATATTTTAATAAGAGATTTGTCACTTGCCGACATCTCTTTTTCTAATGGGCTATCTATTTTTCCAATTGCGGAAAGTTGAAGATCTGCTTGGAAATTGCAGGGCTTAGCACATTTATGAGCTTTCTTTCCAAAAAGCTGATGATAGAAACAAAAGTTTGAATTGGCTCTATTTCTAGATCGTGAATGGGAACGACTCCAAAAATTGGTTTGACACTTGCTACGAGTAATGTCTAGCTGAAGTTTCTCTAATGCTTGCGTTAGATCTTGAATCTTATCTTCAAGTCTGCTGCAGTGATCGTTTGATGTGGAAGAAGCGGAGTTGGAGTGAGAAATAGCCTCAACTGTATTTTGAAAGAGATTTATCTCACTTATTTCCAAAATTGTATATGCGATTGCTGCCATTTTTTGCAAATCAACACCATCATTTACAGATAGAACCATTTGGACACGAGAAGAAAGTCTTTGCAACCAGAGGGTACATAAAACTTCTTCCCTAATTCGATCCGTTGCTAAATTCTTCATCTGGCGAAGCAACTGTGAAGAATCTCTATCTCCGAGGTCAATATCCGTAAGCAGGGCCACCGAGAGCCAGGCCGGGCCCTAGGACAACTCTTTAGATCGGGACAAAAAAAAAGGTCCTCAAGCACCAAAAACTTTTCCTCCTCTACTTGAATTGCTTTTTCTAAAAAAAAAAAAAAAAAAAAATATAAAAAATAAAAATAAAACAAAACCAGTTGCCGGGTCCCCCTTATACCGCTGCCGGGCCCCCATTTGAGTCCGGGCCCCGGGAATTATTCCCCCTCTACTTGGCACTGTCCGTGAGCAAGTT